GCGACGATTGGCGGAAACGTTAATACGGAAAATTATTTTATTTGAAGCGAATTACGCGTCGGACGGTTCTAACGTCGACGATAGGAACGCAGGCAAACACCGAAATCGACACAGACCGGACGAAAAGCGTCGATGCACGCGTGATAACGAGTCTCGGCGTGTACCCGGGCCTTAGGGCGTACAGTGTAAATATCCAGACACAAAGGCACACGCTTCCAACCTTTTCTCTAATTTATCTATAACTCGGGTACACGGAACGTACGTTCGCAGGACGTCTTCGCGCTTATTTCAACGCGTACGTTCACCTCCTCGAACACGGACGCGTATCTATCAATCACCCTACACGTTCTATACATCGGATACACGCACAGAACGTGGCAAGCAATTAGGTCGAGTCGTAGCTCGACAACGATAGAGAATTCTTCTCGTCCCGGAAGTGGAAACGCGTCTATTCCGAATCGCCAAACCCTGGTCGATGCGCGATCTCACTCCGTACAACCGGAGACGCGATATCGACGCAAAAAGCAAAAGAAGAGGCGGCCGTTCGAAAAGCTATCGTCCGAATTTCGCAAGACAAGCATAGGAGACGGTACGAGAAAATTACATAATAACAACGATGCGTCTATAGAGAAGAGAATAACGAGGGAAAACTTTCTCCGGTCCCGGTACACTCTGCTTACCTCCTCTATAATTTTCGTTACGCTCCAACTGCACGATGATCTATCGCACATGCGCCACGTAAATCACCGATTACACAGATTTCCTCGCAACGCCGCGTATATGATCGTTTAAACGGGAGTTTACGTAGGTTTGGGTGCTTATCCGGCGCAAACGCCTTTTACGAGAACGCCGGTATCGAGCCGATTGTTTCCGGAACGTCTTGATACGATAACCGATTTTCCTTGGAATTGAAAAGGGGCGGGAACGCGAGGCTCTCGTCAATGGAATCGTGCGCAGCAGCCAAAAGTATCGTCCTCTTGCATTCTGAAACGTTATCAGGCTTTAATTCCATCTACGGTTATGCGGAAAATTCAGCGTACACCTACGTACGTCGGCAAGGAACACTGGCCGGACATGGAAAAACGAATATAAACGGATATTCGAAAAAAAAAAAAAAAATAGAGCAAAACTCGATATACGATGCAAATTTTTCACTGAAACTTGGAAATCGTTTAAAAAAGCAATACGATACGGGTTGCTTCCTGCAACTTTGCATCGCAATATTTTTCAACGCTTACAGGGGCTTTCTAAGCGTTGCCTGTAATATACAGCCGTAGCGTATTTTCATTTTGATCGTTCAAACTTTGCAATTTGTGCTTTTTTCCGCTAGTAAAACAATAGCGAAATAACGAAACTCGTAAGGATATAATGGCGAGAAGCACTACCTGCTTCGTATCGATTCAGCTAGCTTTACATCTCGAGACAAGCTCCATGCTGGTACGTACTCGATGCTAAAACGTACAATTGCGCGTGTCAGGCAGCAGACATACGCTTTGACCGTTTTCCGTAGTCGTCCATAATTCGAAAACTAAAGTACCTGGGATATATTCTCGTACGACGCATTTTACTCGTTTTAACGCGTACTCGTGCAACTTGTCGAGTATGGACGTGCATTTACGAATCTGTTTACACAACGACGACATACGACGCGTAAAACGAAGCGAAGGAAACGTTTTCCATTGAAAATTCCACGATAACCAAAGTCGCTATTACTATTGATTAGGCAAGCTGTGCGAAGTAATACAGTTTGAGGTGGCGTCAAATGAAACTGTAGTGGCGCCGCTTTCGTACCACTAACCGATAACCCAATACCACGACCGTCTCGCGAACAAAAATTGCCAATATACGATACATCGCCGTACGTCATTGCTTCTCTATTATCTCGATATAGTATCGCCGTTCGGTCGTGTTTTTTCTATTCAGAGTTTTCTCTCTCATTTTATAGATGAACGCTTCTTACATTTTTTCCACTCGCGACCCGCTTTTGACCGACATAACTTTCCGCAACTCCAGTTACACGCGTAACGCGACAAGGTACAAACAATCGATGATAAATAAAGTTTGAGTTTGAACAATTCTTCGTTGTATTTGTAATTTCATCCTTCCCTCGTCTGCCCATCTACCTGCTATCGTCTGTCGTAAAATTTATCCGAAGCGCGTAGATTCTTCGGATGCTAACGACAGTGGAAAAACCTCGAGTATACCGATGTAACGAAATGGTTTCGTTCCGATAAATACGATAATAACGACGACTTTACACGAATGGAAACAGCAAACGAAAGTGGGAGCGAAGAGATGGCTTCGCATGCCGAGGCACTCGTGGCGTTCGAAAAAGAGCCTCGATAGTTCCAAGTGCAAAAAGAACGTGACTCTATCGAACGAATTACGCGACTTGGCGGCCGATAAAAAGATAATACGATAATATCAAAGGTACGCGTTTAAAGAAGCTATCGATCGGTCCTCGTTCGTACTCGAATAAACGAAATTTCATATCGGGAAAGCGATTGTTCCGTTATTCGAAAATTCCATTGTCCGAACGGTTTTGTCTCCCTATCGATCCGGATAAATGAACCTCTCCTCTCTATATATATATATAAAAAGAAAAAATACTAGACGTTGGAATAGTTTGGCGAACCACTGCAACTCGATGAGCGGAACGAAGGAAACGAAAAGAGGACCGGGGAAAAGAAGAAAAGCTGGGTTTCCGCGACCTTGAGTTGGTCGGTGAACCCGATGCTCGCGCGTCCGCTTACGTCACGCTCTCGCCAACTCACAAGGAAGTGCTTTCTCGTTCCTCCGCGGGCGGAAAGAAAGAGAGAAAGAGAAGCAGAAAAGAGAGATGCGGGCCGAGATAGCAGCCACTGGCGTAGCGCACTACGCAAACAAATCAACGTCCGTCCACTTACTGGTAGAGGCTGGTTCGTACAGAGCCAGTGCGGTAGACGAGTAGCGAGTTAAGCCGAATCTACACCGTTCGGTCGGGAGAATCGGCGCGGATCGTCGGCGATTTAATATCCTCGTCTGATCCGCGGTGGTCCTTCGAATCCCAACGGCTCGAGTCAGCTTTGTTTCCTACCAGCTACTGGTCGCCCGCCGCGTCCGGATATCGAAAAAGGCGGGGAAAATCAGTCGTAAGAGACAAAGACGCGCGCTACGAACGTTCGCGCACAGACGCAACGAAGACCTTTTCGTCTTCCGCGTTCGTCCTTCGCGACTCGATTTCCGACTCGGTGTTCCGTAGCCAGTGTCGAGACCCGTTTAAGCGAATCTTGGTCAGTTCGTCGACGCGAATGTCGCCGCCGCTGCAACAGTTTGACGCCACTCTTCGTGCAACGGTGAACGCATTATGGCCTCCGCGTTATCGCAATTAAGAACAAGCATGGAAACTTTTTGCACGCCGACGAATCGCTCGATAAACCGATACCGTGTTCGCACAGCGTTCGCGTTCACAGAGAAGCAGCCACGCGGACGATAGAGGTACGCTAGCACGCAGATCTTCGTCGTTTAAAGTCCCCCAAATGACGCGGATGTCGATTTAGATAATTTGCTTAACGGTGCGTACGGTACTGGGTGCTCGTGCGTCACGATGGGCGTTATTCGAATAAACTTTTAGTCGAATAATCAGTCACGAATAAAATTTTATTCGGCGTCCCATTAGAATTTCATATTTAGTCGTTCGTTTCCATTGTATCATATTCGTTATTTTTATTATTCGTTACGCAAATACTAAAGTATGTACATATATATATAAATTATAGGCCTTAATTCGCGATACAACCGACAAATCGATAAAATTCTACGATCCGATACAAGTCAAAAATCAAGGATTACAAAGATGCGATTTTTCATCGAGTTTGTCATTTTAACCGAGTTTGTAATTATACATATATACACATATCCGTCTATTTCGTTTTACGGGGCAAACGTGCTACGGGTCAACTCGATTAGGCACACGTTATTGCCTTTTAACGGTTTAACCGTTAATTATATTATCAGACCAGGTCCTTCGACCAACCGTTTGTATCTTTTTCTCTACTTTTACCTGGCTCGCGAAAAAGGCGGGGAAAATCAGTCGTAAGAGACAAAGACGCGCGCTACGAACGTTCGCGCACAGACGCAACGAAGACCTTTTCGTCTTCCGCGTTCGTCCTTCGCGACTCGATTTCCGACTCGGTGTTCCGTAGCCAGTGTCGAGACCCGTTTAAGCGAATCTTGGTCAGTTCGTCGACGCGAATGTCGCCGCCGCTGCAACAGTTTGACGCCACTCTTCGTGCAACGGTGAACGCATTATGGCCTCCGCGTTATCGCAATTAAGAACAAGCATGGAAACTTTTTGCACGCCGACGAATCGCTCGATAAACCGATACCGTGTTCGCACAGCGTTCGCGTTCACAGAGAAGCAGCCACGCGGACGATAGAGGTACGCTAGCACGCAGATCTTCGTCGTTTAAAGTCCCCCAAATGACGCGGATGTCGATTTAGATAATTTGCTTAACGGTGCGTACGGTACTGGGTGCTCGTGCGTCACGATGGGCGTTATTCGAATAAACTTTTAGTCGAATAATCAGTCACGAATAAAATTTTATTCGGCGTCCCATTAGAATTTCATATTTAGTCGTTCGTTTCCATTGTATCATATTCGTTATTTTTATTATTCGTTACGCAAATACTAAAGTATGTACATATATATATAAATTATAGGCCTTAATTCGCGATACAACCGACAAATCGATAAAATTCTACGATCCGATACAAGTCAAAAATCAAGGATTACAAAGATGCGATTTTTCATCGAGTTTGTCATTTTAACCGAGTTTGTAATTATACATATATACACATATCCGTCTATTTCGTTTTACGGGGCAAACGTGCTACGGGTCAACTCGATTAGGCACACGTTATTGCCTTTTAACGGTTTAACCGTTAATTATATTATCAGACCAGGTCCTTCGACCAACCGTTTGTATCTTTTTCTCTACTTTTACCTGGCTCGTTGATACCTTAATACGGGGATTCCTTCTCCATGACTCGTATCTCGATTTTCGTATTTTACTGCATCCAGTCCAATTACGTGTTTGATGGATGGGATCTTAAGACGTTCGTGAAGTGTCTGGTTAGAGATATACCAAGGAGCGTTAGTCACGATTCGAAGGGTTTTCGGCTGAAAAGTTGGAAGGATCGTCGTGTTAGATGGTTTCTTTAAAACGATCTTTCGACTCGTCGTATCACTCGTAATAGTAGCGGCGTTATAATTCTACGTAAAAGTTAGAGAAAAGTACGCGCAACGTTTCGCGTTTTCCCAAATGATTACCGTTTGTCCGTGAACTTTCGTGCGCCGCGAAAGCTCTTTCGAATCCATTATATCGTTTAAATTACAGGAAATGCCGCGGCGATAATTCACGTTCGAAGCCATGAAATTCCCAGTAAGCGGTGATTCTATCTGGCGTATCATCTATAATCCGGTCTTTCTTCGTCCGTCTGTCCAGTTACGTAAATATGGAAATCCACGCGTGTACATCGATCATGCGATATCGTTACAGCGATTATAACGATTCGTTTCGTTAATCGTACATATGCACGCACGGAACCAAAAGCCGTGTTTGCAATCTTCGAATTCGAACGATCGCTAACCCCACTGCGACACTCGCGTTCTCGATTCGCGATCTTGGCTTCGATATAATTCTCTCGTTAGCACCAAACGAAGGAGAAGGCTCGTTTCGATCCGTTCGAAATATGTCGTCGAAAAGTTCGAAGAAACAGGCTGCAACGAATACGAAACGTTTCTTTTCGAATTCGCACGCGACACACCGCGTACCCTGCGAACGAAAACGGGAAAAAGAAAAGATGGAAGGTTCTTGGCGGTTCTTTCAAATCGTAACACGTCGCCAACTTAACCTAAAGCGGTAGCTGCCAACTTGAAAAAAATACAAAAGCGCCAGCCTAGTTAGAAAAGCAGGAAAATAAGACTCGATCGACCGGCAAGGTTCTCGGCAAACGAAACAGGCATACGCGTTTCGTTCAAACTCGAGACACTTTTTAACGCTAACCTCGCTAGAACGGTACGTACGATTGGGTCGCAAACGACCGAAAGAACGCAGTACGGTTAAGAGACCGTTCGTGTCGAATCGTTATCGCGAAAACGAATTAAAAAAATGGAGAAAGAGGGAAAAGAAGAGTGGCGAGCGAGGAGAGAGGTTGGAGAAGAGAGGGTCAGTGACACGTCGTCGAACAGAGGTTTATCGGACGAACGACCGACCCACGTGGTTAGTGTTCTCCGCCCTCTTTTATACCCTCGATCGCCGCGCCACTAGGAACTACTGCCGGAAAAAAACACGATTAAACGTTATTCCTCGCGCGTTCCGTTATACAGGGTGTTTCTAGCAACTGGGACAGGCTGTAACTTGGTCGCGAGCGAGGTTGGAGGAAAATCGTAGAAGGAAATTTTGCACCGTCTAACGCGCACTATCGCGCTGTCGTACTAGTTTCTATAAGTGGAACGCCGTAATTTTTTCCACACCGTTCGATGCGTTTTCAAAGTTGGTCGATGTCACGTAGTTGGACGGGAAAATGTCGAATTTAAAAGACAAGAAACCACAGAGGAGAATGTACGGAGAATTTATCCGTTCCTTGTCTTTCGTTGCGCTAAATTTGCTGCAACTAAAATCGAAATATCTTTAAACCAAAGTATATACGTAAGACGATTCGTAACTGTTCGCGTCTGTTCGCGACGTACGCGTAAACGTTTGTAAAACGTTAGATAGAATTATCTCTTTTTGTAATAATGTACTTCCATATCGACCGACGATCACAGACGCGAAATTGTACGTTCTTCGAACAAATCGATATTTAAGATGAACGATAACGTTGAGAACCCTAAATATCGACGATGATATCGATCGCCTGTACCCTATTTTAACGACGGAACGTAACATCTCGTACGACGATCTTTCGCAGGAAACGTTATACATTGGGAGACGACTTACTTTGGTTTTAAAGATTATAAAGATCTCGCGCTGCTTGCTCCGTTCCATTTAACGAAACGATTCTTACGTAGCTCTCTTTATCGAACGAGTAACGTTCGCGGAAGGAAAATGGTAGAAAATCAGACGTCCTTATATACCGAGGAAAGTGACGCGATTTAACACCGCCGCGATAATTTCGAACGTAAAAGGGACCCGTTAACTGCGGTTAACTGCAATACCGTGGAAATGCTAGCGCGTAAAAACGTAGAAATACGAGGCGGCGAAAGATATGGAAAAGCTTTTTATCGGGCAGAAATTTCGTTGAACTTTCCAACTACCTGTTACTCGAGAAGAAGCGAGGAAGGAGAGCGCGAAAGATCGAGGGTGAATGAGAATCTCTGCGGAGGTACAAAGAGAGCATCGAGGCCTCGGATGCACGTGCGTGCAACTAACGCCGACCGGAAGTCGATAAAAAGGCTGCTTCACCCTCGTCACTCGGCAGCAGAGCTCCTCCTCATGGGAACCAGCCTCTTTCTTCTCTCTTTATCCCTCCGCTCGCCTCGCTCTTTCCTCCCGATTCCTCTCTCTCCTTCTTTCTCCTGCGCCTCTCGTTCCTCTTGTCACGACATCCCTCGACGTTGCACCGTAGCGTGCCAGCCACCCTCATCTCGGCACACAAGGTTTCTTTCGAGTGGCCCAGTAAACTTGAAAACTATCCTCCGAAGATGCACTTTGCTCTCCAAAGGTGTTTCTTTCTCCCGAAAGAAGATGTCTCTCTCTCTCTCTCTGTCCACACAGAACAGAGAGTTTCTTCTCTCGTGATTTTGGCTTTGATTCGTTTCTCTCGTCGGCGATCCGCCCGTCCTCGCGTCCCTTTCTCTACGTCTTTTGTAGAGACGCGTGTCTTTGCCGATTACCATAGCGACAATCGCTATTTCGCTAGACGGATCGCAATCGGTGGACGGCGACAAATTTTTAAAACACGCGATTATTTAGTCGGAAGCCGCCGGCTACGTTTCGTCGTATGTACCGTCGAGCGATGGACCCACGCGAACAACGCGTCATTTAAGGGGCATCGAAAGAGACGCCGATGAAAATCGCGACGATCTTCAACCGTGTCGTAAATTTCGTCGTTGCGGGCAACTAGGCGGTTGGCTTAGTTTGCCAGCTACGTGCAAAAATATCCCGCCGCTCGGTCTTAGTTCTCGAGCTGGATCGCTTTAGTGGCAATATTAATCAGCCGCCGTGAGGCGGCCGTCCGGCATTGTTTATATTAATACCGATAAGGGGATTTGCGGAGGCTGCCGNNNNCGCCTCGCGGCGGCTGATTAATAGCGCTACTAAGTTAGCGCTAGCCCGCCTCAGCCTGAGAATCAAGGCCGAGCAGGCAGGATATCTTTCCCTACAACCGGGAAAACTAAGGCCGACCGCCTGTTGTACGTACAGGAAAAAAACGCACGTGTGTTTAAAAAGAAGGTGTCTGCTTGTCGATTAACGATTAACCAACGAACAACGCGAGCATCCGTACGAACGAAACGTATCCAACGTGCCTGTTTCGTGGCTTTCCTTTATTTTCTCCTCTTACTTGTTTCTATTCTTTCTCTTCCGCTGGCTACCATCCACGATTTTCAACCGGGTGTACCGCAAGAATTTTTCAAACATCCACGCGCTACTCGACCGTTTAGTCAGGAGCACCGACCCGCGCCTCTCCCGGAACAAGACGTCTCTCGCACGACAGGGAACGTTCCCACTTTCCTGGTCGTGGTTTATCCATCTTCTTGCCTATCCTCCCGTCCAGGCGTTTCTTTTTCCACTTGCTTCGCGCGTACGCGTTTCGGCTGGCTGCTACAGCGCAAACCCCGTAAAATCTTTACATCTACGATGTATCGGCGATTCGCGATCGACGTGTCGCGAGAATTTCTAACGAGAAATAATAAGAATTTGCAACGTACGAGACGTTACGTTACGTTACGTTAAATACTCGATCGTATCTTGAAAGAGTTCTAGATAAGACACTCTAATTAATGGGGATAAAAATGGAAATTATCTATGACAGAGCAGCGTATCTTTCTTTTTCCCATCGCATACACGGTCGATCGGTATTCCAGATAACGCTACTCGATAGTCTCCGTAACGTCGACAGTGGCCGCACCAGTGTAGGAAAATCCCTTTTGCCCGATTTCTAATTTACAAACTAGAAACGAACGACACTTTGCGAATAAGAGGGACGGTCGTACGAGCTCGGACAATCACGAAGGCCGATTTCTTTGTATCGCGTTGCGATCGAATTTAGCGGATTAGCCCTGGAAAGATCGATCGCATCGCATCACGATGCTCTAATTACCGGCCATGAAAGATAAAATCAGCGCCGCTCTTTTTCTCCATAATTTTCACATTAAATTACGTTCTATTAAAGGCGAGTACGCGCGTGCATATTTTTTGAAATTTAGTATACGGCGTAGACACGCTTACGCACTCGCGAGACGGACGGTAATTAAAGGAATCGTGTTTTCGGAACGAAGGAATCGACGAAAGTAAAAGGGCCGTAGGAAGAAACTTTTCGCGCGGTTAACGTACGTTACAGCGAACAACGTGTAAATATGACAACGGCAACGGTAAAGATATCTACAGTGCCGATATCGGTCGAAAGCAAACGATCGTGGCTAATTAAGGCGATTGGCCGATGTTGCTCGTCAAATTTATGAAACATCTCGTATAAAAACATGTAAAACGTCGTTAAATCGACGAAAATCCCGCTCCATCTTTACGCCTACACGAGTGTCGTCGCGATGCCGATCGGTCGCTGGTCAAACGTTGGAAAATACGGAAATGGGAGGAAAAACTTTGCCATTCTTTTTATTCGCGTTAGCTTTATTCTTGGACGCCAACGCGGCGGATCGAACGTCACCACCTGCCGATCGTCCTCCGTCCGATTTTCTCACGCAGGTTCGCATTCTTTGCTATAAATAGACGATGTTTATCGAAATAAGCGACCTTACCGCAACGCGATTCGAACGTCTCGGC